TCTAAACCCTACCTACAAACTCCGCAACTGAAATGCCACATCAACCATCGCACCCTACTGACAGGCTCTTGTCCACATGCAGGCTGTTGCAGAGCCACCTTGTGCCATACAAGGGCAGCTGCTACATTGGGATGCTCTTCGAGTGTTTGAGACAAGATACGATATAAAACTATGAATTGCTGAGGCAATTAAGCAAGCACCATATAAATGCAAATATTATTATAACATAGTTAATGCTTGGGAGCTTATTGACTCTCGCTCCTGGATGGACATCTACCCAACCCACAAGTCCACAAAGACTGGCCGCTCTTACGCTGCAGGATGAACCTAGGAATTGAGTGTTCAACTTCACGTTATTTTCATTAAAGGCCTGTGACAAAGGCGAATCTATTGGAGCGACATCATCTCAAGCTTACACATCTACCGGGTCTCCATTTGACTTTGTATTGTCTAAGAAGTCCACCTACACCTCCACCTCCACTTCCACAAACTGCTGGGAGTTGCCTCGCTCTGCCTCGCAGTCAGAATTCTCCTCCTGCTTCACGATGCCTCCATCGATATGAAGGTCCGATTTTGGAGTTGAATCTTCATCTTCACATTTCACCTTCACCTCTTCATATTTCACCTTCACCTCTTCATATTTCACCTTCACCTCTTCATATTTCACCTCGATACCTTCATAAGCGTCCGAGCTGGGATTTTCTTCCGGTTCTTGTTTAATGAGGGATGGGCTCATTGCGGCACTTTGACTTTCACAAGCTGATTTCAGACTCCACTCCTTGTGGATCTTCTGATGCTTGAGTGTTCTCTGGTGTACTTGAAGATGTGGTTGCTGTGCAAACGCCTTCCCGCACGGAGTGCATCTGAAGGGTTTCTCTCCCGTGTGTGTTCTCTGGTGTCTTTGAAGATGTGATGACCGTGCAAAAGCCTTCCCGCACGGAGTGCACCTGAAGGGTTTCTCTCCCGTGTGTGTTCTCTGGTGTACTTGAAGATTTGATGGATCTGCAAACGGCTTCCCGCACAGAGTGCACCTGAAGGGTTTCTCTCCCGTGTGTGTTCTCTGGTGTACTTGAAGATTTGATGAATCTGCAAACAGCTGCCCGCACAGAGTACACATGAAGGGTTTCTCACCCGTGTGTGTTCTCTGGTGTACTTGAAGTTTTGATGGATCTGCAAACGCCTTCCCGCACAGAGTGCACTTGAAGGGTTTCTCTCCTGTGTGAGTTCTCTGGTGTTTTTGAAGAACAAATGACCGTAAAAATGCCTTCCCACACACACTGCACTTGAAGGGTTTCTCTCCTGTGTGTGTTCTCTGGTGTTTTTCAAGAGCAGATGACTGTGAAAATGTCTTCCCACACACAGTGCACTTGAATGGTTTCTCTCCCGTGTGTGTTCTCTGGTGGTTCCTAAGGTGTGATGCCCGTGCAAATGCCTTGTTGCACACAGTGCACTTGAAGAGTTTCTCTCCTGTGTGAATTCTCTGGTGCTGTGTAAAATGTCCAGGATGATCCGTGCTGTATGCACACCAGTCGCATTGTTGCATTGTCGTACTGAGCTGAGCTAAGTGCCTTTGCTCCATCAGACCAATTCCAGAGGAAGCGACAGCTGCAAACAGAAAAAAGAGAACATCCACACCATCTACATGTCAGTATCGAGGCACAGAGGAATGCATATATACACAGTCACACATGACTTATACATCTATACTTATTCATATATTCATGATGTAGTGAAAAAGTTTCCCAAATTCATCACACGGGCTGTTATGGCACACAATGAGAGGGCAAATGGTCATAAATATGCCTGGAAAGCCCTAGTATCTTCAAAATTAATGTTAACCCAAAACTCCAAGCACAATATTTGGGCTGTCTGACTACGAAAGGAATATTTATAAGAGCTAAATTTAGCTCACATAGCAAAGGGTGTTGAAAATAATACTACAGTGGTACCTCGGTATATGTCGTTAATTCGTTCCAGAAGGTAGGACTTATACCGAAAATGACGTTAACCAAACGAATTTTGCCCATAATAAAGGAAATAATCCGTTCCAGTGTACTGTATAATAAATTACATTTTTATTCTTAGCTCTTTCGGTAAAGTCACGTTGAAGGGAAACAATAAAATAATAACGTTGAAGGGAAACACAATAATGAAATATATATTTTATTATTTTATTGTTTCCCTTCAACGTGACTTTACCGAAAGAGCTAAGAATATGAATTACTGCAGTCACGAAAGCTTTAAATCAAAATTACATTTTATTTGGCATATTATACATTAATGGGGTTGTATAACATAATATAGACACTACTTATTACTAAAATGCATACATACATTAAAATAAATGCATAAAATCATAAATAAATTGAAATAAAAATAACATTTACCATCATTTTACCGTGCTGAGAGGAGTTGATAGCCTACGAGGATGGTGGTGAGGAAGGGGAGGAGATATTATTTTTGAAAGGAGAGTCCCCTTCCATTAAAACTTCAGGAAGCTGAAATTCTGGGGTTTTTTCTCTCTCTTTTACGTCTTTTTTCTTGACTTGGACCTGGTTGAGGCTCCCCAGGTTTCGGTTTTACTAAAAACCTGTCCATTGAAGTTTGTTTTTGCCTTCTTCTAACAATGTTCCTGAAGTGACATTGTTTGGTCATTCCACATAATACTGTTACGGCTTGTTGACTGAGGAGCGGCGCTTGTTTCAGTCGTGAACGGGGTATACTGTACGCGGTGACTCATCCTGACCCATACAAGTTCTAGCAAGCGCGTTGTATCCCAAACAAGACGTCGTATCCAAAGACATTTTTTTCTCGTCAAAACACCACGTATAACAAATTGGACGTATTCCAAAGCGGTCGTATACCGAGGTAACCACTGTATTTGTGTTATACAGAAATGCATAAGTTAATGTTCAATCGCAACTCAGAGGTGTGAAGCCAGGCTCAGATTTCCTTGAATGCTGGGATGAACAGATCTAACTTCAGCTGCACGTGTGCTGTTAACTTCCTGTTTCCATTCTTACAAAGAGTTCCAGAGGAAAACAAAAATAAACGATTGTTTTGATATAACCTCCGTGTTCAATAGCGTTAATAGGTTTTTACCCTTTTAGCTGGCACAAAAACTGACACCTTTTTGACGCCAAAACGCCTTTTGGCATAATCTGGTCCAACACCAATGGAGACTAGGCTCTAAGAAAAGCCGTCTCGGGTGTGGACCAATCAAATTCAAGGACAGTGCATATCATTATCAGAGTTGTCTCTTTTTGTTTGCATTTTGACTGCTTGTGTTGTGGTTATTGCAAACATGATCCCTTGTATAAAGGTGTCAGTTTTTGTGCCAGCTAAACGGGTAAAAACCTATTACTATATCTTGTTACTGGCAAAGGAGGTCTCATAATGTAAAGAGTTAATAGTCTTTACTGCAAATACAAACTTTACACTGTCACACACTGGCATGGTAAAAAGGTGGTGGTTGTGTCCAGAACCATGCCTGACCACCTTCACCTTCTCAGTATTAATGCTTCCTCACTCGATCCCGACACAGATGCCTGCTGTATATTTGGAGTTTGTGTCTCTCTCCGTGGTGAGATGTTAACTACCTCACGTGGTATACAGGAAGTCGTGGGTTAGATCCCGACACTGATGCCTGCTGTATATTTGGAGTTTGTGTGTCTCTCTCCGTGGTGAGATGTTAACTACCTCACATGGTATACAGTAAGTCGTGGGTTCAATCCCGAGCCTGATGTATCTTTGGAGTTTGTGTGTCTCTCCGTGGTGAGATGTTAACTACCTCACGTGGTATACAGGAAGTTGTGGGTTCGATCCCGACACTGATGCCTGCTGTATATTTGGAGTTTGTGTTTTCTTGTTCATGTTTTTGTTTTTTTGTTTGTTGCGGTTGCACCCGATTCAAGAGCCGAATGGCTCACAGGGCTATACCAAATAAATGAAACTAAACTATGAAAACTTTGTGTCTCTCTCTCCATGGTGAGATGTTAACTACCTCACCTGGTATACGGGAAGTCGTGGGTTCGATCCGGACCCCGACGCCTGCTGTATATTTGGAGTTTGCGTGTCTCTCTCGCGCCGTGGTCGCGTGGATTTCCTCCGCATCCCCCGGCTTTCCCCTCCACATTTAGTGAACACCGCCACGCGTCTAGAGTGAACACCGCCACGCGTCTAGAGTGAACACCGCCACGCGTCTAGAGTGAACACCGCCACGCGTCTAGAGCGAACACCGCCACGCGTCTAGAGCGAACACCGCCACGCGTCTAGAGCGAACACCGCCACGCGTCTAGAGCGAACACCGCCACGCGTCTAGAGCGAACACCGCCACGCGTCTAGAGCGAACACCGCCACGCGTCTAGAGTGAACACCGCCACGCGTCTAGAGCGAACACCGCCACGCGTCTAGAGCGAACACCGCCACGCGTCTAGAGCGAACACCGCCACGCGTCTAGAGTGAACACCGCCACGCGTCTAGAGTGAACACCGCCACGCGTCTAGAGTGAACACCGCCACGCGTCTAGAGCGAACACCGCCACGTATCTAGAGTGAACACCTCCACGCGTCTAGAGTGAACACCGCCACGCGTCTAGAGTGAACACCACCACGTCTAGAGTGAACACCACCACGTCTAGAGTGAACACCACCACGTCTAGAGTGAACACCACGTGTCTAGAGTGAACACCGCCACGTCTAGAGTGAACACCGCCACGTGTCTAGAGTGAACACCGCCACGCTGTTGATAAGCCTCAACTTATATTCTTGGTTCTTTCGGTAAAGTCACGTAGAGAAGGGAAACAATAAAATAATAAAAATATAAAACAATTCAATTCTGTGGTTTTCACACCTGATGATTGCTTTTGTTGCAGTCGAAACGTGATAATTTAATTGTTTTATATTTTTATTATTTTAATATTTCCCTTCTACGTGACTTTACCGAAAGAACCAAGAATATGAATCCCTGCAGACACGAAAGCTTTAAATGAAAAGCCTCACCTTGTTGTGGGCAGGTCGCTTCTGTGAAACAAGAGCGGTATAGCAGCTCAAGCGGGCTTGGCCTGGTAAAATATAAAAAACCGCGTGAATATTTAAAGGAAAACAAAGTCACAAAGTAGCGAGCCGGGTGAAGACAAATTAAAACTTAAGAATGAGAATTAAGCAAATGCAATCAGGCGAGGGCAGGAGGCTAGGCCCCGCGTTGTAAAGTTACACCCGGACATCGATTCCCATGCTCGCTGCTACTCAATTGACATCCCTACGAGAGAAAGAGGGAGGCTCTACCTTGGTAAACAACAACCACCACAACAACAACCACCACAACAACAACAACCACCACAACAACCACCACCACGACAACCGCGATGCGAATTTCTCACCTCGGATTTCAGCTTCCCGTTACCTCGCGACGTCACGCGGCAGCAGGTGACATGACGTCACTTCCGGAAGACGATACTCCCCTCCCACAATAAGTCTCTAACTGAATAAATTATATTCTTGGTTCTTTCGTTAAAGTTACGTAGAAGGGAAACAATAAAAGAATAAAAATATAAAACAATTAATTATTCTAATGAATCTTGTCCATTTGTCGAGGATGTTAATGATCTGCAGTCATTGGGCGTAGCTTTACCCAAATAAGGATTGTACCGGAACAGATGTCGGCAGTCACCAAGTAGAGGTGACGTCACGCTCAAGAGGGCGGTGGACGGGGGTGGGGTGAATATTTTGGTGACATGACGTCACTACCAAAGGACACCGCCCCCTGGCGTTTCAGGCCGATGAGATAACGCTGAGGGATGACGTCATAGCGGGTTTCGAGTTTAAGTTGATTTAGATTAATTTTCCATTGCTCCCTCTCTTGAACAGAGACCCCTTGGGTGTGTGAGCTCAGCAACAACGTGGGCATCATTGTGTGTGTACAAACTGCGTGTGTACAAACTGCGTGTGTGTACAAACTGCGTGTGTGTGTACAAACTGCGTATCGGTGTACACTGTGTGTGTGTACACTGTCTACAAACTGTGTGTGTACACTGTGTGTGTGTACAGTGTGTGTGTACAGTGTGTGTGTACAAACTGTGTGTACAAACTGTGTGTGTACAAACTGTGTGTGTACACAAACTGCGTGTGGGTTTACAAACTGCATATGGGTGTACACTGTGTGTACAAACTGTGTGGGTGTACACACTGTGTGTGTGTACAAACTGTGTGTGTACAAACTGTGTGTGTACACACTGTGTGTGTACAAATGTGTGTACACAAACTGCGTGTGGGTTTACAAACTGCGTATGGGTGTACACTGTGTGTGTACAACTGTGTGTGTGTACAAACTGCGTGTGTGTGTACAAACTGCGTGTGTTTGTACACACTGTGCGTGTGTGTACAAACTGCGTGTGTGTACACACACAAACTGCGTGTGTGTGTGTACACACTGTGCGTGTGTTTGTACAAACTGCGTGTGTGTACACACGAACTGCGTGTGTGTGTGAACACACTGTGCGTGTGTGTGTACACTGCGCGTGTGTGTACACACTTTGTGTGTACAAACTTTGTGTCTCTACAAACTGTGTGTGTGTACAAACGCAGTACACCTGATGGGCTCCTCTTCTGTGTGTTCTTTGGTTTATGTCAAGATTTAATGACTGCAAATTAACAGTGCACAGTCGTCATGTCGCGTGGACGAGGCGAGTTCTGCTCTAGGTGACGTCACAAACCAGAGACAGGGGGGAGGCGCTGACATCACCCACCCGTGACGTTGAGGTGACGTCTCCCGAGGGCGCTTTGCATATTTAAATAAACACGTGGTAAGCAACGTGCGATATCGATGGACACAGATACGAAAAAGATCAGCAGACACCTCTTTCATTTATCGGTCTCTCCACGAAACAAAGCAATGTTTTACACAAACTATAACTAGCACAGCCTTCTGGGAGTGCATCATTGATTGAGTGCAAGCCACCTGTGGACCCTTATTGGTGTACAGCGTCTCAACAGCAGTCGGGCTGCATCAACCGATGGTTACGAACATCCAGAAAGTTAATCAGCAAGGTGCATTTCTAGTCTTAGTTTGACAAAATCTATATAAACACGTAATACTAAATTACAATTCGTGTTGTGGAGAATGTATCTCCACTACGTGTAACTTTTAAGTGGTATGCCTTGTAACTGGTGAATGATCCGAGCGTGCTCCTTATTGCAAAGACAATGAGTTGCTCCAGAGGCAGATGCTTCCTGAAAACAAAAATACCCTTTGGCTTGTATCACAACAACAGGTCTCACCTGAGTTATCTGTACAGGTTACTTCCAAAAACGCACTTTGTCCTAACATCACTTATTCAATGTTTGACCCTTATGGACAAAATGTTACATGTACGCACACAATCAGACAAGTATTAATTCTAAATTCTTGACAGGCATATTAACAAAATTGAATTACTGCATCATGTTACATCGTATATACAAGCTGATATATATTTTTTAATGCACCATCTGCTTAACAGTGTATGTACAACAAACTATTGTGTAATTCAAAACGAGTAGGCCATTGCATGCTGGCATCTGGGTACATTTTTTGCAAATTCTAAACCTTACCTACAAACTCCACAACTGAAATGCCACATTAACCATCGCCCCCTACTGAAAGGCTCTTGACCACATGCAGGCTGTTGCAGGTCCACCTTATGCCATACAGGGGCAGCTGCTACATTGGGATGCTCTTCGAGTGTTTGAGACAAGATACGATATAAAACTATGAATTATTGAGGCAATTAAGCAAGCACCATATAAATGCAAATATTATACTGGTAGGAACGAATTTGTAAACTGAGTGTACCAGCCTGCAATAGATTAATGTGTCCGTCCATCCGTCCCCTTTCAATACTTTAACCAAGTGAAATCTCGTGCTGTTCTTAAACATTGACTTATCTTAAACATTGACTTGTCTTAAACATCGACTTGTCTTAAACATCGACTTGTCTTAAACATCGACTTGTCTTAAACATCGTCTTGTCTTAAACATCGACTTGTCTTAAACATCGACTTATCTTAAACATCGACTTATCTTAAACATCGACTTATCTTAAAAATATCGACATCCCTCCTAGCCACGTGTCCTACCCAAGCGCACTTTTCTTCATAGTTTGGATGCTACAATTTACCTACACTACACTATACACTACACTATACGTTATCTGATCCATGTAATTTTATATTGGTAGGAATGAAGTTGTAAACTGAGTGTACCAGCCTGCAATAGATTAATGTGTCCGTCCGTCCGTCCCCTTTCAATACTTTAACGAAGTGAAATCTCGTGCTGTTGGGTGTAAAATCAGCAATAGACAGCACAGAGACTTGTCCTACCAGCCCACCCTGCAGGGATCTGTTTATAACATAGTTAATGCTTGGGAGCTTATTGACTCTCGCTCCTGGATGGACATCTACCCAACCCACAGGTCCACAAAGACTGGCCGCTCTTACTCTACAGGTTGAACCTAGGAACTGAGTGTTCAACTTCACGTTATTTTCATTAAAGGCCTGTGAAAAAGGTGAATCTATTGGAGCGACATCGTCTCAAGCTTACACATCTAACGGGTCTCCATTTGACTTTGTATTGTCTAAGAAGTCCACCCACACCTCCACTTCCACAAACTGCAGGGAGTTTCCACGCTCTGCCTCACAGTCAGAATTCTCCTCTTGCTTCACGTTGCCTCCATCGATGTGAAGGTCCGATTTTGGAGTTGAATCTTCATCTTCACATTTTACCTTCACTTATTCACTCTTCACCATCACCTCTTCACGTTTCACCATCACTTCTTCCCTCTTCACCATCACTTCTTCCCTCTTCACCATCACCTCTTCCCTCTTCACCATCACTTCTTCACGTTTCACCATCACCTCTTCACGTTTCACCATCACCTCTTCCCTCTTCACCATCACTTTTTCACATTTCACCTTCACCTCTTCACGTTTCACCTCGATACCTTCAAAAGTGTCCAAGCTGGGATTTTCTTCTGGTTCTTGGTTAATGAGGGATGGGCTCATTGTGGCACTTTGACTTTCACAAGCTGATTTCAGACTCCGCTCCTTGGGGATCTTCTGAAGACTGTGTGTTCTCTGGTGTCTTTTAAGAGGTGATGACTGTGCAAATGCCTTCTCACAAACAGTGCACTGGAAGGGTTTCTCTCCCGTGTGTGTTCTCTGGTGTATTTTAAGGTGTGATGACTGTGCAAATGCCTTCTTACAAACAGTGCACTGCAAGCGTTTCTCTCCTGTGTGTGTTCTCTGGTGTCTTTTAAGAGGTGATGACTGTGCAAATGCCTTCTCACAAACAGTGCACTGGAAGGGTTTCTCTCCCGTGTGTGTTCTCTGGTGTATTTTAAGGTGTGATAACTGTGCAAATGCCTTCTCACAAAGAGTGCACTGGAAGGATTTCTCTCCCGTGTGTGTTCTCTGGTGTATCTGAAAGCATGATGACTGTGCAAATGCCTTGTCACACACAGTGCACTTGAAAGGTTTCTCTCCTGTGTGAGTTCTCTGGTGCCGTGTCAAATGTCCAGGATGATCCGTGTTGTATGCACACCGGTCACATTGTTGCCTTTTTGTACTGAGCTGAGCTGAGCGCCTTTGCTCCATCAGACCAATTCTGCAGAGGAAGCGACAGCTACAGACAAAAAAAAAACAACACCATCTACATCAGTATCGAGGCAAGGAATGCATATATAGTCACACATGACTTACACGTCTATACTTATTCATATATTCAAGATATTCCCCAATTGATCACAAGGGCTGCTAAGGCACGCAATGAGAGGACAAATGGTCAAAAATATGCCTGGAAGCCCTAGCATCTTCAAATTGAATGTTAACCCAAAATTCCAAGCGCACAATATCGGCTGTCTGGCTACAACAGAAACATTTATCAGCAAAATTCAACGAATATACCAAAGGGTTTAACACGTAGGCTTTCGCAACCAATATCATCCATAAGAGGTTTTTGGGTTAGATCGCGTAAATATATAAATGTGTCGTTAAAACCTGCCATCACCTG